GAGAAGCTTGGGCTGCCCCATCCCTGGGAGTGTTGAAGGCCAGGTTGGATGGGGCTGTGAGCAACCTGGTCTGGTGGGAGGTGTCTCTGCCCATGGCAGGGGGGTTGGAAATGGGTGATCTTTGAGGTCCCTTCCAACCAAACCATTCTGTGATTCTATGAATTTAGGGCTGATCCATAAATACCCAGTTGGCAGTCTTGCCTTCTTCTTCCTCTATCCCAAGTGGCTTTGAGCAAGCCTAAAAACATGAGGACTGTCCAGATGACAGGTAATTCTTGCCATTTTTCTGAATATTGCCTGATGAAAATATTGTTTCTGTTCTTCTCAAAGAATAATCACAACAGCCTTCAGAAAAATAAAAGACCAAGGTTAGAAGACATAAACCTCTTTCTAACCCCTTACAGTTTACTATTAAAACCAGGATTCCTTGTAAACTAAACATTAAGAGAGACTGAGTCTTTTTGTCTATGCCTGACAGTAATCAACTGAGAGCTGGAGTAAAAATATACCAATAATGCCCATCTTTACCTGTTCTTCTGGTTCGAGTCTTGCTAGCCAAAGTGTCCAAGACAGCACTTTGAAATGCTCTAGTTTAATTGTTCTATGCAAGCCAAACTGAAGTTACGTTTGCCTGTGCAGAAGGCAGTTTGCAAGTGGAAATAACTCTTTGACATATTATACATAAAAGAACGCTCTCTCACACTTTGTTTACAATCTGTGTCCCCATCTGCTAAAGCCAGCCACTGACAGAAAGACTGACATATTCAAAACAGCATCAGACTTGTGCTGCTTACAACGAAGTACATGACAGTCCATCTGAGAATCACAAGGGAAACGCTATGAAAAGAATTCTTGGTTGCAGAAGGCAAATTAATCCCCTCAATTGCTTCATATGTTGGAAGCCATATACATATCCAAACAGCTATTAGGAAACATTTCTGCGGGTGTTTGCACAATTCTGCATAGCAATTCGCATGCTACAAGTAGAGAAGTTAATTCGTCAACAGAATAGTTTGCACCACAGTGAAGCTGTGCTGCTCCCCAAGCTTCTGGCTGTTGAACTTCAGATTTGGCCCAGCAAACAGACAAACTAGCCACTGGAGGAACAGATCAAGCTCAATCTCCTCTAACTTCTACACCTTCCTTACAGTGAAGGAGAAATTACATTTACTTATCTAAATTAAAATTTGAGGTAGAAGACTGCAAGGAAGTTTATAAATTGATTCAGCATTGTGCTGTTTAAGCTGAAAAATCTTTTTCAGAACTTTATTCTTCCCTGAAACTCTTCAAAATAGGATACAAGAAGCAGCCAAAGACAAATTAACTTTACCACCTTTGTCTTCAATATAATTTACACTACTTTTGACAACCTTCACTCAGTTTCTAAAGCTCAGCAGTGCAAAGGGAGAAAAAAAAAATTCCCATGCTGCCATACCACAATGAATTTATGGCCTTGTAGGAGATTATTTCCACCGCAGGAAAAACCCACGTGGAGGGCTTACTTGCCACCTGCTTTTCCAGTAGCACGGGAGTTCATGCAGGCAACCAGTGATTTGGACTGGGGAAATGACTGCCACTACAACTAACCATTGTCCCTGTTCCCAGATCCTTTGCTAAGCAGATCTGAGCTTCTGTCCATGCAGGGAAGTGAAACAGGCTCTTTCAGTAGTAGCACCTATACTTTTTGAGCAAGTACGCCATCAAGACACAAGCTCGAGCACGACATGGTCACCTCTAATCTACCCTCCTCCCCAGAAAAGTACCAAAATACTCCATACAGTATTTTCTTTTCCCTCCAGGAACAACTGCAAACAGAAATTACGTGAGACAATTATCAGTTTTGTAATTCAATGCACAACACGAAAACACTCAGATTTTACACTGATGGGTGCAAATTACTCAGTTTCACACGAGTCCCTAATCTTAAATTTTTTATAAAGAAAACAGTTCTGCTGAGGTAAGAACTGATTCCCCTTTCAGCAGCACAGCTGGGTCCCCACAGTTT